TGTACTAATGAATTGATTTAAAGTTTTGGATTTTTTCACTATAGTTTACAATGCTTCACTGGATCTTCTAGAAATTACTCTAATTTATAATACAAACTCCTATATTATTAAGGATTCATTTGTATTAGGTACAATTACATTTCTACAATGGGCTATCTTGGTGATCTTTTAATATGACTTCATTCAAAGATATTCTTGAGTTTCCCCACATATATAAGTGACTTTCAACCACTCAAATATCTTCCTCAGAAAAGCATTGCTCTCTGCTTCATTGAATTAAACAGGGAATCAGTGGCCTCTTCCTGGTTTAGAAAAGACTTCACTAACCAAATAAAATGTGTGGGGACTTGTTGGATCCTATTAAACCAAATGTAAAAAGATTTAATGAGACAACAGGGAAATCTGAAAATTTGAATTGTCAGGATATTTAAATTTTGGGGGTAGGATAATGGTATTATAGATATGTTTAAAATGTTAACTCTTATTTGTTCATATTTAAAGTATTCACAGATAAAGCGATAATAACCCAGCAAGGGTAAGAGTGTGGAGGGTTATAGATTAAATAATCTTAGCCATATGTTGGTAAATGTTGAAGCTGGGTGAATGGTATTTAAGGATTTATTGTACTATTACCTCTACTTTTGTGTTTGTCTAAAAATTTCCATAATAAATATTTAAAAATATTAAAGAGTGGAAAAAAGAAAAGGATTTCAAATTTAATTAGCCTAACTCCAGCAGAAGCTGAATTTTCTCAGGAGGTATCTATAGGAATCTTTCAGAACTACTTGCTAGTTTGTTTTCAGTTTGAAGTTGTTGCTCTCCCCATAAAATAGGTATGGAAGCATAAACATTTCTTGCCAAGGACTCTTAAGTAACAGATTCAGAAATTAAAGGTAATCCCAGACACGAATTTGGGAGCATCAGTTAGTCATCTTCTTCAGGGTTGCATTATGGTAGAAAATACATTGACAAGCAAATAAAAGGGCTTTTTGCTTTATTCACGGGATTAAATATCACCATTTAACTTCTATGATGAAGAGAATGGGAGTTTTTAAATTTGCATTTAGGAGAGTCAGGAAACTCAATCTGAAGAGGCCCCAAATTTTCAGTTAAGTAACTACTAAGAAGAAAAGGACACTGATAAATAGCCAAGGTCAACTTGGGTTTAGGGAGTATGGTGTTTTTCTCCCCCCATGTAAATTCTTTCCCGACACAGGCTGCTTTCACAAGTATGGCAGAATAAGCCCCAGATTAACCTTTAAAATAAATATAGCAAGCAAAGCACATGTCTGAAATAATTCATACACACACGTATTAGAGTACTTTATAGGTTTAGACAAGTACCCCCTGAAATATCATTATTTGAATTTTTTGCTTCCTTCTAGTCTGTTCAACAGAATTATAAAAGGTGAACATAATGCTATAAAAGGTCTCCTATTCTATATTCATCCTTCTTTCCTCTCATCTTGCTCTAGATTCCTGGAGGGAGTAATCTATGTACTCTGCATCATTGCCTTTTCTCACTTCTAGTTGCTAACCACATGCCATATCATTTATCAGGCTAAATAAAATTCATAGGTGCATTTGGTGTCTAAACTGAGTCAATACATAACAAGGCCTCTTGCATTACTTTGGGCCTTTGATAAAGGCTAACTTATTCAAATTTTGTAAAGAAATAAAAATAATAGAGTTCAGATTAAAATCAATAAAATTCAATCCTTCAGAGTGATCAGTTTTTGACAAGACATAACTGCTTAATCTGAAAGACTTAAAGAATGACAACAGTAATATCCCCAAACCCTTCTCAGAAATACAACACACTGTACTTGCCTAGGCTGACTTAATAGTCAAGTGGTCAAAACCTCAAAGTGTCACAGGATAATAACGCAAGACAATCCCCCAGTCCTTTGCAATACTGTTGCTGTTCCCAACACATCGAATTCCCTGGAGTGCTTTATTTTGGTTTGAAATTTACAATTTCCTGTAGATCAAGTTCTAGATTTCTCTTTGCTAGACAATGACCACTTACTATTAACAGCTGTTTCACAAGTGCTCCAAATAGGTGTGTAATACAGGTGTACCACCGCTGCAAACTGGATATAAGAAAACCCAAATTTATTACTCACTCATATTTTCCTCTTAACTCAAAGGTACTACTCACAATAGGGTTTGTTTACATAGGCATTCCATTAAAATTCTCCGTGTATTCGTTCTATTTATACCCATTTCTTTCAAATACACACGTTATTATATGTACACAAAGTCCATCTGTAATTAAAATCAGCTCCTCTGCCTGGCATTTCATTTACATGACACAGGAATTAAACCCAGGTAGTCGTTCACATAGATAAGGCCGTGGACCTGATTGCAAATCATGTTTTTACCCCCATCTCCATTACCCGCTCCAATTGTTAGTCCTCGGGCAAAACTGAATAAAAAGGACTCGTAAGGCTGGTGGTGTGCCTCTCACTCCGCCCGTAAGCCCTCGCCGACGTTCAATGCTTAGACGTTCCGAAACCCCCCAAACTGGTCTGTGGGACAAACATCTCTGTGGAGCAGACGCACCCCTTCCCCAGATTAAACGGCAGCTTCCTGAGGAAGGGAAGGGTGGACAACACCGGCCAGGTACTGCAGCGCCAGGAGACCTCCGCGCCCGAGGAAGGGAGGGAGCACGCTAAGGTCGGAGCGACATTTATTAATAAAAGCCAGGCCGACTAAATGAGAAAGGAAACGCTGGGGGCCGGAGTGAGGACCGCCTACCTCCCCGATTAGCCCCCAGCGCTCGGCGAGCCCGAAGGCCCCGGCGGCAGCAGGGACGCAGGCCGAGAGGACTCGCAGGCGGTGGCCGCTGGGCGGCGGCGCTCGGCGGGAACGCGGCCGCCGGGCATGCCGGGAGCCGGCCCCGCTGCATGCCGGGCCGCGTAGTTCCCGCAGGCCTCACTCCGGATCGGAGCGACGGCGGCCGCCCGCTGCTCCTTTTATGGCTCGCGAGGGGCCGCACTTGAACCGCCTCATGGGGAAAAAGTCGGTAACACCGGGCCGAGTGAGCGGGGCCAAGGTCCCTCCTCCTTGTGGGAAGGACGGAAGTAGAAAGTCAGCCACCCTTCCTCTCAGGTCCCATTCAGACACTGGGCGAAGAGGAGGGTCTGACAGTGCTTCCCCTTTAACGGGGGGCGGGGCGCAGCCTGCCGTTTGGCCGCCCTCCGCGCCCTCCCCCCCAGCCGAGAGTTGACAGACCAATCGCCCGGGTGGCGGAGGGAAGGCGGGAGAATGCGAACCCTTCGGTAGGGCGGTAGGGGCGGGCCCCCGGCCTTATTAGGAGCGAGTCTTGCGCAGGCGCAGAGGCGGCCGCAGGCGGAGGGGCGGGGGCAGTCCAGTGAGAGACTCTCCGACAGGCACGGAGGGTGATTGGGAGAGAAGGGGGCAGCGAGGGGCTTGTCATGGGGATCCGAGCTACGACACGGCTGTGGTAGCATCTGGGGACTCCGAGGGGGACAGGAAGTGTCAGCGCGCGGGACCCCGGCGCCAGCTCCGCTGGGGGGATCCCTGCTGCTCTAGTCCTGGGGAGGGAGGGGAGAAAGGAGGGAGCCCTGGCCTCGCCCCGCCCCTGGGCTTGTTACCGCGGGGGCGGGGAGTGAGGGCTTCTTTTGGGGGGAGTGGAGATCGGGGGACTCGGTGGTGCCCTGTCGAGCGGCCGCCGGTGTCCCCGCGGCGCCGGGCTGCGGAGCGGAGGGCCCGCGGCGGCCGTGGCTGTTGCATGTGTGGCTGCTGGATGCGGAGGCGGCGGCGGCGGCGGCGGCGAGGAGCAGCAGCGGCGGCAGGATGTTAGGGCAGCAGCAGCAGCAACTGTACTCGTCGGCCGCGCTCCTGACCGGGGAGCGGAGCCGGCTCCTCACCTGCTACGTGCAGGACTACCTCGAGTGTGTGGAGTCGCTGCCCCACGACATGCAGAGGAACGTGTCCGTGCTGCGAGAGCTGGACAACAAATATCAAGGTAGGGGCCGCGAGGCTGCCTGCGCGAGTCCTCCCCAGCCGGACCCGCCGGCCTCGGGACGTGATTGCTCGGAGCCTGCTCGGGGAAGTGCCACTTTCCTTTCTCCTGTGACAGTCTCCCCGAGTGCACAGGAGTCTGCTGTGTGGGACACGGAAGAGGGAGCGGAGACCGACTTCGCGGCCCTCCCTTCCCCCTGGCGGTAGGCGAGGACTTCTGTGGGGTCGTGAGGGTGGGGGCCGCTCGCCAGCCCCCGCTGCAGACCCGGCGGCTGCAGCTGCCGTGGAGGGGAATCAGCCATTTTAAGCAGCAAGCATTTGTTCCGGCGCTAGCCTGCCCCATGCCGCAGACCCTCCCGCCCCGGCCAGGGAGTGTGCAGCCGAGCAGCGGGCTGGGGAGCGAGGCGGGCAGGCTCCCGCTGGACAGCGGGCCGGCTCTCCCCGCCGCACCGGGCCCCCACCCCCCGAGAGCAGATGCATTGGAACGTGCGGGGGGGAGGGGGCGAGAGAGGGCCGCGGAGGCGGACTCCGGAGAGGTCCCTCCCTCTGCGCTCCAGCTCCCGGCTCGGGATGGAACAGTCGGTTCCCCTCTGCCGCCCCGGGAAAGTTCCCGGCCGCCCGGCGCCGCAGCCTTTCCCCAGTTCCTTAAGCCAAATGGTTAACAGGGGAGCGTTCCCCCGCCGGGAAGGGAAGGGAGAGGGGTGTGTGTGGCGGGGAGGGCCCCCTTGTCCCTGGGGGCGGGGCCCGCGGGCGTGACGTAGGGCCTGGGAGGGGCACGGCGCGCGCGCTCCCGCCGGCCTCGAAAATGGCTCGTCGCTGGAGTGGCTGAGGCTGAGCTGGCTGCTTCCGAGGGAGTCGGGGCCGTGCGGGGCGTCAGCTCGGGCCTGGCAGAGTCAGTGCTGGGGGTTTGCAAGATGTTTGTTGTGATGTTTCGAATCTCTTTCCCAACCAATGAGTCGGGACGGGGACATAGCCGCTGGGACCGTCGCTGACCCTGGCACGGTGTAGGTTCCGGGCCATGTGTCACTTCCGGGCCCCAGGAGGAAGAGGGTTGGTTGACTAGGCAACCACCTGGCGTCCCTTCTACCCTGGGTCGCTCTTCCGCCAAGTTTAAGTGATGTGGCGAAAACCTTTCAAGCCTGGACAGAGACTTAATCTTTCTTACAGAGTGTCGTTTATCAACTATCAGTGGAACTTTCGTCTGCTACTAGAGTGGGAGAAGTTTAAATATGGAGATGTTATTTAATGACCCTCAGTCAAGGAACAGACCTTGAACATAATGTGGAAACAGCCATGTGGATTTCAAAGATATCTTGGATCCATTCTCTGTTTTTTTAAACATGTCACTAATCCTGTTTTAGTCTCTAAGGAATCCACTCCTGGGATGAGGTTTTCTGGCCTGAAGCACGTTAGAATATTTAAGTATCTCTGTGCTTTTGAATCTATAAATTTATTTCTGTCTTCTGAGTCCATATGATTGATAGGACAGGTCTCTTGAGGGGAGGAGAATTAACACTAATTGCTTACTGTATAGCAATCACTGTGCCAGGTCCAGGCCATTATATAAAGTAAAAACTCATTTCACATATAAATTAAAATTTACAAACAGTTTAAATAACTTGTCCAGCTAATGAGCTGTAGAAGATTTGCCTGCCACTTCAGATGAACATCCTTGTTTGCAAACTTTTAAAATTTTAAAAGAAGAGCCGTCCAATAATATTTTCTATAGACATGGAGCACATATGTGAATGATAAACTAAAAATGATCATGTGTACTTAAGAACTGTGTATGCAACCTTTTTAGTTTTTCAAATAATAACACTGAAGTTTGTGAAGCTTGTAGTTTTTTACATTTCTTTAAAGGCACAGGTTTGTCGTCACAAAAGTTAAGCTATTTGAAGTTAGGGAGGGAAACTAGAATTTGTTGACAGGGAAATCTGCTATCTGATCATCTGTAATTGTCATAAGTAGCTCTGGTAACATGAGTAATATTGTAGGCCTTACAAGATTGAGAAATTATAAAAATCCTCAGCTCCATTAAGATTTTGATTAATTTCAAGATTAATATAAAAATAGTGATCTAGTTTTCACTCCATGCACATGGTTACTGAGCTCAACAATTTTATATTTATAAACTTTATAAACTTTCATGTTTTTTATTATTTTACTAGTTCTTAAGTATTTTCTGTGTTTGGATCTAATACTTAATAGCAATATATTAAGCAAATATAGTGATACATTTAATAGATTATATAGGCAATCAAAGAAATTTCCCACCTATTTAAGACACTTTCAGAAATTACTGAAGAACCTATAAAATAGAGAAAGAAGAAAATTTCACAATTAGATGAAGTATTTATTATGGGGTAGGGTTATTAGAGAACCTTTGTTTTTGTTTCAGTATTCTCATTCATAATTTCTTGGGTAAACAACCTTTGAACTAAAATTTAATGCTTTATTTCAGCTGCCTTTCCTGTGGTTTATAGAATGTGCTTAAACTGGAATTAGATATACAGATTGGCATTGTTCAGAGTCTGGGGTTCTTACATGAGTTTCATTTTCTTCACATGTAGCAATGATGGCTTCCTCTGATTGCTGTAGGGGTTAACTGAGAAAATCTTTACCACATAGAAGGGGCTAAGTAAAGGTGAATTACCTTTCTTCTTTCACTACATAATAAGGTGTCTTAAAAATGTGATAGGTACCCAAGTTATTGAAAGAAAAAAATGAATTTTTATCTCATGTATAATATCAGTGTGCCGGTATGATATACAATGTAATTAGCTTCTGACACCTGATTATTAGATACAGAATATTCGAAATGAGGTTTGCCCTTTTATAATCCTCAAAGTTTTTTGTATCTTAGGGGAAAATATGTAATTTTCTTATTTTTCCTGTAGGAAAATTAGGTTCTTAAGAAATCTACTTAGAAAATTAGATTCTTAAGAAATCTACTTAGATGTCTAACTGAGCAAATGGGATAGATATGAATTTGGTTTATGTCAGGTATGAGTACCCTCAGCTGTGTGGTGGTACTTTGTCATGTATACCAGGTTAAACAGTTGTCTATCAAACTGCAGTTTCCAGGGAGGAGCTAATTCATAAGAGTTGTATTGAATAATTACTTTGTGTTACCTTACTTGCAGACAGCCTCAGTGTATATATTTACTTGTCTAACATTTCTGTTATTAAGAATAATAATATTGGAATATAAAGCAGTGGTATGCCAAGTGGTGGTTGATATTAGAATATAAAACAGTGGTATGCCATGTGGTGTGATAAATTAGAGTTAATTTTTGTTTCTCCATCTCTTAATAGGACAGACCTCTTTCAGATAGCATATCTGATAAGGATAAGAAATAAAACAGAGTTGAATAAAATTAATCTTAAGTAAATTTTTGGTGACATCTGAAATTATATTTTCAGATTTTTTAATACCTTCTAGTGACTCAGCTATTTTTACTTGAGTTAAATAAGTGTCTCACATGTTATACAACTAAATCAGCAGTTCAGAAAGCTTAGAACCAACTGCTGAGTTATCTACAAAGGCAGAGTGATCCAGTGCTGACTTTACTATAATTTTGTTAGTGGCTTGGTCAGTTGATGCCAGAACCAGAACCTACCCTGGAAATAGTTTGATTTTCAGAATTTCCCATGTGATAAAATAAAAGAACCATTAAAACTAAGATGATGGGAAGCTAAGAATTGCTTATGTCTGCTTAGTTTAAGAATGTCCAGGGGTATGATGTAAAAATGAAGATATAGTGTCTCTCTGGAGTCACATAGCAAGTCATTGGTTGAACTGTAAACACAGTTGGTCAGTAATCTGTGAGCTAGTCCTGGAACCTCTTCAAGTTTTATAGCTGGAGTCCTGCATGTTAATTTTATTTACTATATAAGGTTGTTTTGAAGTTCAAAGTAGCTATAGATGATATGGTACTAGGTAGACTCTAAAGTGGCATACAGTGTTCCTGCCCATTCAAAATACTTTTGATTGTTAACCACACATCTCTTATCCTTTTTAATACAGATTAATGAGTAGTAGAGTTTTGTGTTCTCTGTTCTCATGAGTTTATCTCTAAGTTCACCTTCATATTAGATTACGTTGTCTATGTATGGGAAATCATGTTAATGTATACACATACTGTAGAGGAGTGTAGTTTCATGGTTTGAGTTAGTTCTGAATGCACCAATTCTGTGAAAAATAATTAACTTGAAAATGTTATGTGTGCTGACACATGATAACGTACTCACCTTTCTTTTCTATTTTTTAGAAACATTAAAGGAAATTGATGATGTCTATGAAAAATATAAAAAAGAAGATGATTTAAACCAGAAGAAACGCCTACAGCAACTTCTCCAGAGAGCATTAATCAATAGTCAAGAATTGGGAGATGAAAAAATTCAGATTGTCACACAAATGCTCGAATTGGTGGAAAATCGGGCAAGACAAATGGAATTGCATTCACAGTGTTTCCAAGATCCTGCTGAAAGCGAACGAGCCTCAGATAAAGCAAAGATGGATTCCAGCCAACCAGAAAGATCTTCCAGAAGACCCCGCAGACAGCGGACCAGTGAAAGCCGTGACTTATGTCACATGACAAATGGGATTGAAGACTGTGATGATCAGCCACCTAAAGAAAAAAAATCCAAGTCAGCAAAGAAAAAGAAACGCTCCAAGGCCAAGCAGGAAAGGGAAGCTTCACCTGTTGAGTTTGCAATAGATCCCAATGAACCCACATACTGTTTATGCAACCAAGTGTCTTATGGGGAAATGATAGGATGTGACAATGAACAGTGTCCAATTGAATGGTTTCACTTTTCATGTGTTTCACTTACCTATAAACCAAAGGGAAAATGGTATTGCCCAAAGTGCAGGGGAGATAATGAGAAAACAATGGACAAAAGTACTGAAAAGACAAAAAAGGATAGAAGATCGAGGTAGTAAAGGCCATCCACGTCTTAAAGGGTTATTTGTCTTTTATATAATTCATTTACTTTCAGAAAATGTTTTAGGGTAAATGCATAAGACTATGCAATAATTTTTAATCATTAGTATTAATGGTGTATTAAAAGTTGTTGTACTTTGTCTGTGACCTTAATTTTCTGCACTGAATTACCAAATATTTTAAACCGGGTAGTCTTCAGATCACCTAATGAAAGGAGCAGGGAACAGAGAGAGGGTGGTATGAACATTATAAAAACTTCACAAACCATGCCTATTTCATTTTCACGTAAAACTGCAATGCTCTTTGTTGGGTAAACACAAAAGTTTTCCTAGTTTCTTAGTTCTGTGTGCTTAGAAAAATTTAGATATAGTTGGATTTCTCTGTAAGCATCAAATTATCTTGGGTAATTAAAAATATGAACACTATACCATTTAGAGCTTTTTTTCCCCTATCCCCATTTATACATGTTGATCTCTAGTTTTCCAGGAATTGAAGGAACTAGAGATAAGAATAATTTGGGATTCCATGTGGAATAATGTGCTCTTATTGGAGTATTTGCTGCTGTCTTTTCCTCAGTAGCATTTTGATAACACTTGTCAGTAGCCCATTTGTAAATGCCTTGCTGCTGCTTCATAGATAACACTTACTCTAGTGCTTCATAAGGAAGTTGTTTTGTGATTTGTTTTAATGGGGACAGGTAAGAGTAGTTAGGATGCCAAAAATGCTGCCATTGGCTTATATTGGCACACTTTGGGTTGTGTAGTATCATGGTCAAGGTTGAGCAACTTAAAAATGCATCTTAATTAATAATACTTTCCATGTGACCCACTGCTGGGATGGTTAGCCACAGGCCTGTCAGTAGGGAAAAGGCTAATCTTTAAATATTACCTTTATGTCAAACAGTTGTTTTAAGTAGTTTTGCTAGTGCCTATTGTTTATTTCTGTCCCAATCAATGACTATACATTATTTTAAATAACAGTGTATTTACCTTCTTAACTTTCTGGTACTGGTGCTGTTTGATGTTTTCTTGTTTAATGAACTAATTTCATTTTAACAATGCAATTAATAATGTATTTGTAAATTGAATTTTCCAAGATTCTATTATTTTAAGATTAAGCATCTTGGTGGATATATGTTCATATGTTTTGAGAAAATTTTGGTTTGGGGGGCAGCAGATTTACTGGCTCTTTAAATCTGTGTGTAACATACTTTTTATTCTTCATTTCTTCCTAATCTGATGATCTGATTCTTTTTGATTAACATGTGACAAATCCTGTCTGCTTGTTTGGGAAAAAAAAAATGTTTTTTTTCTTCCTAGCTCTCTTGTGTGACTTTTAGGCATGTCATTTCATCTCATCTGGGTGTCATGTCATTCACCTGTAAAATCAGTTGGCTTACATATCTCCAAGATTCTTTTGAAATCTGTAGTATTTGCACTGTAGTGAGGATTTAAATAATGAAATGACATATTTTTCTCTTTCATTTTTTCCTTTGTTCTGAGATATGAAGACAGTTTAGAGGTGAGCTTAGAGATGGTAAATGCACAATATTTGATTAGCTTCTGTCTACAGATATTTTGATGATTATAGCCAGTTGATTACTTTTTGAGTGAGAAATATTAGCCTGATTAAGAATTTGTTTTCTTAGTTGAGTTGTAAAAAAATCCTTTTTGTCTTGAGGATATAGCATTTTGTTTTGGTGATTATAGCCTTTTATCAGAATGGAGCTATTTATCTGACACCATTAAAAATATTAATAACAGCATGTACAAATCCCCCAAAAGCCTTCAAATGTGACTTATATAGAAGTCATCCCTTTCCATACATGAATTTGCAGATGGGAGAAAAAAATAAATTTCCTAATAGAAGTACCCTAGTTTGGGTTAGACTTGATAGGAAAACAAACCTAGGAAATCCTGGAAGATGTACTCTCTTTAAGACCTAATGTTTGAAACAGTTTATTTTTATAAATTCTCTTTTGTTTTCTTTTTCTTTCTTTTTTTTTTTTAGGCAGAGTCTCACTCTTGCCCAGGCTAGAGTGCCATGGCGTCAGCCTCTCTCACAGCAACCTCAAACTCTTGGACTCAAGTGATCCTTCTGCCTCAACCTCCCGAGTAGCGGGGACTGCAGGCATGCGCCACCATGCCTGGCTAATTTTTTTCTATATATTTTTAGTTGGCCAATTAATTTCTTTCTATTTTTAGTAGAGACGGGGTCTTGCTCTAGCTGAGGCTGGTTTCAAACTCCTGACCTTGAGCCATCCGCCCTGCCTCGGCCTCCCGGAGTGCTAGGATTACAGGCCTGAGCCACCAAGCCTGGCCTCTTTTGTTTTCTATACTTTTTAGGAAATAGAAGTTTTAAGGTTACATAACATTGTGATTGGGATTTCAAGTATTCTAGATCTCATACACCATTTCATATCATGGATACAAACTCATAATATATATACCAGTGGCTCCTAAAATTATTGCACATTGGAATTACCTTGGGAGCTTCAAAAAATATTTATATCTGTGCCCCACCCCCAGCAATTATGATTTAATGCATTTGGAATGTGGCTTAAGTATCAGAATTTTTAAAATATCCCCATTCTAATGTAAAGAAAAGTTGGAACCACTGCCACATTTTTAAAATTTCAGCCTATTAAAGACTGCTAGTAGATTCTCTACATCCAGATTTGTACAACTCTGAAGCATATATAAATGCTGATACATGAGAGTATATCCCCTGCCCCCAGCCGTTCCATCACCAGTGCTTGAATACTCCATTTGAGTGCTTCTGTGTGCCAGGTACTGTTTTAAGTAGTTGTGCTATAAAAAGAAAAAGTCCCTGCTCATGGACCACACATTCTAGTGGAAGAGTCAGATACATACAATATCAGGTAACTGTTTTAAGTGCTAAAGTGAAAGTAAGCCCAGTAAAGGGATGGAAGTGAATGGCGGGGGGTGGGTTTTCATTATGGTGATTAAATAATACCTCTCTAAGGAAGTAATCTTGGAGGTGAGAACAGAAACAAGTGAGGCAGGCAAAGATTTGGGAAAGGAAGAGGGAACAAGCTTGGCAATCTGACTAAAGCAGAGCATTAGAGCACAGCGTGGGAGGGGCTAGAAAAGGGAAGCTCTTGGAAGCCATGGTAGAAAATTTGGAAAAACCACTGAAGGGTTTTGAGCCATGGTCTGGTTTATATTCTTTAAAGATCTCTCCAGATACTGTGTACAGAATTTACTATAGGGAGTCTAAGTGAAAATAGGGGGATTTAGGAGTGTTGGAGGCTTAGACGAGGGTGGTAGCAGCAGTAGTGTCTAGTGGAAGGACTCCGTTTTGAAGGCACAGCCAGCAGAACTTTGACCCAGGGATTGGAAGACAAAGAGATGACAAGGGTGACTCTTGAGTTTTTGGCCTGAGGAGAAAAAAACATCAAGACTTCTGTTTTAGCACTCTGGGAGGCCGAGGAGAGTGGATTGCTCGAGGTCAGGAGTTTGAAACCAGCCTGAGTGAGACCCCATCTCTACTAAAAATAGAAATTAATTGACCAACTAAAAATATATATACAAAAAATTAGCCAGGCATGGTGGCACACGCCTGTAGTCCCAGCTACTCCAGAGGCTGAGGCAGGATTGCTTGAGCCCAGGAGTTTGAGGTTGTTGTGAGCTAGGCTGATGCCACGGCACTCACTCTAGCCTGGGCAACAAAAGTGAGACTCTGTCTCAAAAAAAAGACTTTTGTTTTGGGCTTACATTTGAGATACCTAATAGATTTCTAGTAGAATCCAGCGTGGCTCCTGAATATGGCTGAACTTAGAGGGGACAGGAGACAAACATTTGGCAAGTCATTCAATGGAATTTTAAGTCATGTGACTAAAATTACTCAGGTCATTAGAGCTCAGATTTTAATATGCATATGAGTCACTTCAGTTTGTTAAAATGCAGTTTGTGATTCAGTAGGTCTGGTGTTGGGCCTGAGATTCTGCATTTCCAATAGGCTTCTCAGTGATGCTGATGCTACTGCCCAGGGGCCCTGGTTGTGAGTAGCAACCAAGCAGATGTGGAAGAGGGAGGGGTTGGCCCTGTGTTACTCCACCATTTAAAAGGGGAGGAGCCAGCAAATGAACCTGAGAGCCCTGGGTGAGATGAGCCAGAAACAAGGTGTTTCAAGAAGGAAGTCATCCACTCATTCAAGTGCTGTTCAAATTAGATTGGGGGATTATTGTTGAGTTTAACAAACTGCTAATTTGGGGGATGGAGGCCTGGTTGGAGATGATTATGAGCAGAAGGGGATTGAAGTAGAGACAGCCACTATAGACAACTCAAGCTTTGTTGCAAAAGGGAACAGAAAAGGGGTTGTGGCTGAGTGGAAGGTGAGCTAAGGGAGGACTTAACTTTGAAGGAGATAATATAGCTTGATTATATGGTG